AGCAGTTCAAATATAAAGTTTTATGAATTTCAAGATGGTAACCAAAGATTTAAATCCCAACTGCATGTCCCCTCTAAGCATGGAGTCCTCTACTATTGCACTGGTCACACAGTCATGAAGCCAGGTATTATGAATATGGGAATGAAGATCTAGATACAACTTGGAATCCACCCATGGAGAGGTGTAGTTGAAACTGGGAGGATGGGCGAGATTGCTACCTGGAAACAGGAAGTGAGACGAGAGCTGATGTCAGAAAAAGCAAGAAGAGAAACAGAAGGTGAACGAGAGAAGGTAGAACCCAAGGGAGAAATGGCAATATTGTCTAAGGCCTAAGATCATGTGAATAAGAATCAAAGCCCATGGGCTTAAGTGTGGAGGCCACATGTTGGGAACTGGGGTCAGATAGCTCTTGGCAAGGATACAGACACAGACCACTCATCTAAGGAGTCCAGGGGAGGAAGGAGTGGGACAGGACTGTGGGCCTGTGGGAGGCCAGGAGCCAAGAGGGCTCAAATCCATCCCACACCCTGTCACCAAGGCTAAATTAGCCTGCTGAAATGGCCATTGGGATCCACTGGCCTAGCTCCTAGTATTGAACTGTAGCTAGAGCTTTTTTTTTCGTTTATTATCTGAATGTCCTCACTAGCTCTATGAGGGCAGTAACTGTTCTGTCTCAACCAGCATCAGGGACAGTGCCTGGCACATAGTAGGCAAAGCACATGTGCTGACTAAATGAATGGGATGCATAGTCAAGGGAAAGACACTGTTTGGTTTTAGTCTTTGTTTGTTTTAGAATGGAGATTTAAACATGTTTATAAGTTGAGAGTAAGAACCCAGAAAGGAGAAAGAAGTTGAATTCAGAATTCAAAGAGGAAATAACAAATAAGAGGCTAGAGAAAAGAATAAGAAAATAAATCAAAGGAATTTTGGAGGGAAAAAATAAACCTGAATTATCCTTTGGGAAATTTATTTATTTATCCATTCAACAGTGAGTATCTTGCATTGTCCTGGGCCCTTCTGGGGATTGGGGAATTTATTTGAAAGGCAGGATAGATAGAGAAGAAAACATAAGATACATTACTTTGCATTTGTTCAAGATGACACCATGTAGTTAAGATGCTTTTCTTGGGGGGGAAATTTATATATATATATATATATATATATATATCAATGAAACACAAAAAGAATGTTCCCAAGCATCTGAGTTAATAAAGAAAGATTTAGAAACAGAATGAACTGGGAGAATACCCAGAGGTACTATTTGAGAAGTGGACAGAAGATAAGGAAAAGGAAGTAGAAAATAGGGGGACGTGGGCTCTGACTGGCCTTCTGGCAGTGGGCCAGCTGGCAGCTCTCAGGATCCAGAAGGCAGAGGCTCTGAGTTGCTCAAGACCTGTGATGGCCCCATTTATTTGCCTATTGATTAGAACCTATGCCAGCAGCCTTGCAGGAAGCAGTAAAATTGAGACCTGTCTCAAAGAGGGACACACTGCAAATACTTAATGTGTCTAGGATGAAAACCTGGCTGTGTTTCAATGAGTCCAACAACAAGACAAGGGCCAACTGAAGAAAGTAACAAGAAAGAAAAACTGGCATTGTTTTCAGATGTTAAAATAAATAATAAGACCCAGTTGCCCTCTGACTTGATTGTTTTCTTTAGAGAACAGGAAAATTTATCATCTGTCCAGATCAAAAGCGAAATCTCACACACACAAGTGCACTCCAGCACACACATGGGGTCTTCTAGAAATGGAAGAAAACACACAATTCTCTTCAAGAACACGGGCTCCTCCTCCTGCTTACTTAAGTTTCAGAAACTAAACAGGAGGGCAGATGTTCAGAAACCTGAGGCCTCTGGTGTGAGGATCACAGGCTGCAGCTGACCATCCTGATCATGAGCCTCCCACTCCATCATGGCTGCAGCTCATCACCTATTGTTCCTTAAATAATCTGAAGCCTATCCCTCATTATATTCTTTTTCTTTCTACTTATTCAATTGGCCTTGGTTTTATACCGTTAACTCTTTCCAAATTAGCACAGTCATTCCTGAATATACATATACATATCTGATGCTTTTACTTTCTGGTTGTTTCTTTTTATTCCATAGATCACACACCAGAGTGGGGCAACCCCTAAGAAGCTTACACACAGGGCCCTCTGGGTGCTTGAGCATGTACTCAGAGCTTCCCTCTTGATTCTAGTCCCATTGTCTCTCCAGTGGAACTGTACAGACATCCACCCACAGAGTGTGTCACCAGGCAGACCAAGTATCTAATGTGTTTTAGTTCACATTTGGCATTCAGACAGGAAGATGGAGCTTTGAGCCATTCTGAAATGTCAACTAGATTACATTTTATACTACCAGAGAAAAAGAGAGAGAGAGAGATCCCTGAGCATACCAGGAGAAACAACAACCTCACAGGGATCATGTATAGCCCCGGGCTTTAACACTTGCATATTTCTTTTCTTAAAATTGAACTGGTGCATTTTTAGAGTGAATTTCTGGCTTCTTATATGTTTACTATTACACAATAATGAGAAGCTTCAGTTTATTGGCTCTGGGCTCATCCACTCTTTGACAGCAAATGAAAAAGAGAGACAAGCTTGTCCTTGCTCCTTGTTTCTTGTTATTCCTTATATTGTATCATAGCCAATATAAGGCATGCCAGAATGGAAATGTTATTCCAAAATGGAAAAAAACATCAAGTCCAGTTCTAAAGCTGGTGGTTACAGCCATGTGGGTGTTGTCCCACTTGTAGTCTTGCCCCCTCTTTTTTTTTGCATGCCTGTATACCTGCCTGGTAACCCCTAGCAAGGAGGCCATGTCCTGTCTGGCTCTATCTTCTCATGGAAGCCACCTTCCCCTTCCTGGCCCCTTTGCCTCCAGGGAATTTTTGTACTCGCTACCCTCACGTGCATTTTCTGATTTCAGCTTATGAGCCAGCCCGTGTATCTCCTGCCATCGTAAAACACAAACTGATCCAGCTGCAATCCCCAGAATGCCAACCACAGAGCTGACATGAGAGCTGGCCACCACAGAATACCTCCAGGCTCTTTAGTACTGCTGGTCTGGAACCCATCCATCATATTCCACATCCTCCTTAAAGTAAAAAAGGCAAATTCTTTTATTAAGTTGTACATTTATTTAATAAATTATTTTGAGGGGCATATATCACAATTAAGACATTGTTTCAGATGCTAGGGTTCCAAGAGTGAGCAAAACAGACAAAATTCCCTGCCTTCATGGAACTGACAAATACCTCACACAATAATTGCTTTAGGAAGCAGAGTAGTTCTTATACCTGTTTTGGACAAGGCATCTGAGGCTTAGAGTTTCAGTGACTTGCCCAGGAAAACACAGTGAGTGTTGAGGAAGAATGAAAGCCCAGCCTGCTGGCTCCTGCTCCAGTGCTCCATGCCTGCCTCATCACCGGAGCCATGACCCCTTGCAAGTGGCACTGACAACTCATCCTATTTCCTAAAAATCACCACAATTTTTGCATTGCAAAGAGAGTGATTTTCAGAAACAGTGTTCATTTCAAGCCAAATATAGTATAATTTCTAAACTATGAGGTTCTTAAAGATGAATGTTATATCTCATTTATTTTTGAAAACTCCATACCTGGCACATAGCATGTCCTTCATAAGTGTTTTTTAATGGAGAAGTGCAACACATAAAAATCAAATACTGTTCTCATATTGTGTTTTTAAAGTATGCTGTTCTTGTGAAGTTACAACTTAGAAATGGAAAACTATGATGTTTACTATGATGTTGAAGAAATTAGAAAGGTAAGATAGAGATCTGTGTATCAGTAACAGAAATGCTTGGTAAGAACATTTCTGTATTTTCTGTTTAATTAAATGCTGGCCTTTAGATTTCTAATACTTTATTAATTTCTTTATTATAATCACTTGATTGTATTTACTTGGAAGTAGGGTTATCTTGTGAAATCACAGACATTCTTTGCTATTGGAAAATAAGACAGGAAGAACTTCTTTTCAGCAGGTTTCCAACAGGTCTCTGTTTAGAGGGAAAAGTCATAAAACAGATGGGAGTACACACCCTGTTCAATTCTCATTAATTGAGGACAAAGCCAAGTGAAACCTAAAGTAGAAGAGGACACACACACACACACACACACACAATCATGCATGAGATAGGTAAACTAAAATGGACCCACGGGGAGGGAGACTTGGCAAATGGAGACCTCTGAAAACATGCAAGTTATGTGGAGCTTGGTTTTTTGGTTAAAAATAAATAGAACATTCAATGTGTGCTTCTAATAGATCGGATGTAATATTCAAATGTCACCCAACTGAGGAACTTATGCAATATGTCCAGAAGTAGTTCAGGGCTAGACTGTTGGACCAAAGAGGAATATTCTGACCTCCAAGTGTAGGGTGGTTGCCATGGGATTGGGTTGCCAAGAGACATAATCTCCAAGAAAGTTTGTAAACATTTTCTGAATCAGCAAAATCTAACAATGGCTCACCTGCTTATGATCCTATCCCGAACCCCTGAAAAATCATCACCTTCAAAAGTGCTTTTCCTTCAGAACCTATTCACCTTCCAGAAGGCCCCACCTCTTACTATTATTACCTCGTGTTTTAGGATTTCAAAATATGAATTTAGGGAGAACACAAACATTTGAACAATATATGTGTGTTATATAACATAAATATGTATTTACAAATGTATAAATTTATAAACATGATACATTTATATATTATATGGAACATATGAAATGGAGAATATTTGATGAAAGGAAAAGGTAGAGGTGAAAATAATTTATAACACATATCTACCTAGGTAAAAAGGAAAACCTGAAAATTCAATACTGAAGACAGCTCTAAATTCATGAGAGTCTGTGTCCTGGAAAAAACAATTATTCGTTCATAACCCACTTGAATCAAAGTGTGAAATATGATATATCAAGAACTATGTAATGTTTTGAACAATCAACAATAAAAATTAAAACAAAACAAAACAATTATTCATCTTGTTCATTTGTGAAATTAATTAATTAATTAAAGGAACAAAACTGTTTGAAGGATGAAGGTAATTCAGGGGATGCAATTCAGTAGGCAGTAAGAACACAGGTCAGAGTAACAGAGACAAAGCCTGAATCTTTGTTCTGCCACTAACTTGATCTCACCTATAAAGTGGGTTTAAACAGTGCCTCCAGGATTATTACAACTGTGAAATGAGGCCACATGTGAGAAGAGCTTAGAATGGTGACTGTCACAGAGTAAATGCTCATCACAGGACAGCAGCTGTTATTTTTGGTTATGCGTGATATTTGCAACAACGGCATGGCCGGCTTCCATTCTGTGGAGAAAAGATAAAATTTCAAATGTAGACCTTTGATTTTTGAGCCCCAAAATAAATAATTTTGGTACTCTGTGCAGGTCAATGGACTTACCTGTGCTCCTTTTTGTGAAAAAGCATCAGTCATCCAATCCTCATGACAACAAATTCTGCTTTAATTCCAGAGTCACATAAAAAGTAGAGTCAAGAATGGCCCATTTCAAGGGAGAATTGCCTCAGAATTTGAATGAGTTTTGCCTCAGGCTTTCTGTGAAGCTAGAATATCTCCCAGGAGAGGCTGATGCTGCTGTTCTCTGCCACACATGTTTTACTGGGTTGTTTTTTCTGTACCTGGAAGCATTTTCTAGAACTGAGTTGTTTCCTTCTCATAAAATAAAATAAAAATAATATAAAAACTGGCTGATCAGTTCTTTAAAGGAACTAAAGTAAAACATAATGAATAAAATAAATCTCCAGGCAAAAGCATTCCTAACTATAAAAGGAATGGGGGAGGTCTCATGTCAAGGCTCCTTTTTCCTTTGTTGAGAACAACGGTGGCCCTGTGAAAGTCTGGATTCAAACATGGAGCAGTGCTCTCCCAGGCTTTCCAATTGAGCAACTGCCTTATCTCTGGGAAGGACATGACTAAGCAGCAAGTCTACAATCCATTCACTTTATTAAGGTGTCAGAGTTGCCCCAGTGCAAATAGTAAGGAAGGTGGTGACTTACCTTCATTTCTTTGTCAAGATGTTAATGATGAGTCTTCTGCCAAGCAAAGTAAGGAAATAGCTAGTGGGGAAGTCCTGAGGAGAAACGTTGAGCTGTGTGCACCAGGTTGCCTTGGACTGCTTCTGGGAAACAAATCTAGGATCTGTGAATGTCTGGAGCAAGTCTCTCTGTCACAGTCCAGTAAGCTACATAACTAGCCAAGAATAAAATGGAGCGATTTCATAAACAGTGTTCTGTTAAGTGATTTGAGCTGCACATATGACTTTGATATCTCCTGTGTGCCTCTGGACTAGAGTGGATCAATATTTCCAGAGAGGGCCTGGACAGCTGAGCTGATAGTGCTACTCTGGTTCCCATGCTTCTCTAGTCCTTGTGTCCTTGAAATTATTAGTAAAGCTTGCCACTGGGTACGATCTCTGATTTACACCAGTCTGATTTGAATCCCCATCCTGGTGACCTGTCCAGAGTCTGGTGAAGGAGGAGAGAAGAATTAGTTCAGGTTTCAAATGGAAGGTACCAGGCTGGGTGGGGAACTGTCTGCCTTCTGAAGAAGATCCATGAACTGAAGACAAGTACCCCTTTTGAATCCTTTGCATGTCATTCTATTTCATTGCCCTTGATTTCTTACAGATGCAAAATAAATTGCCATAAATTATTCTTGGAATTTCCTCAAAGGATGCTGCTAAGCCCATAACATAAGATGTTATGGACAAGGCTCTATGGGAAATGACTAAACAGACTCCATTTTACCCTGAGACTCCATATCATGTAAGAAATGCTTCTCCTGTGGGAAAGCCCCACCTCTGTACCCATTAATAGTTACCTAGCATATCATTCTTGGCAACACAAAATAGCAATTATTATACAGTGTAAAATTGTTCTCTTTGGTTTCCATTTTTCTTGGGCAATGTACCTTGTCAGAGATTGACTGTCTAGATGTTAGTAACCATTCTCTAACATGTACTGAACTAGGGTCATTTTGACCCCCTTCCCTTTTGCTTGCTGTTATGCCAACCTGGAAAGTCCCATGGGAAATACCAATGTACTCATTGCATTGTCTCGCTAACTGCCCAAGTCAGCTTCTGTACCTGATTGCTTGTAGCTATGTCAACCCAGATGTGGTTTTTGCCTTTCAATATCCTAAAATGCTCAGGCTCGGGCTGTTCCTTGCAGAGACAGTTATGGGTCCTGAGGGGAGCAAGTGCCACCTGGCTAAATAAAGACTCTTCAATTTGGACAAAACTGGGACTTGGTGTGCTTTCTGAGCGACCTGTCCTACAACAAAGAAAAGGGATGGCTCCACCAGACACTGTCAGTCTTGCCAGAGGGATGGAATGCTTGAGGAAAAGTATTTAATTAAGCAAGGCAACAATGCAAGATAGGAATGCCCAAATTTTCCAGGTGGCCTGTGGATCAGCAGGCTCCTGGGCCCACACTTCTCTATCCTACATCCAGCTCTGCCTTTAACCAAGAAGTTGCTCACCACTTGGCCTATAAAGTCCACCTTTGTCCTCTGACTCCCAATCATTTCAGTTTTCTACCCATTTCCTCTTGTTTCAATTCCATCTGGGCTCAACCTTGGTGAGAATCCTGTTTTTTTTAAGAAAAAGAAAAAAAAAAACAGAGTTCACAAAGTACTTCCTCATCACAAAGGGAGAATTGGTTCCTGTTGGTTCTCTTGAGTATTCTGCAATACATCCCAAACGAATCAGTAAACAGCATGTTGCCTGATTAAATTTGGAATATGAATGTGCATGTGGTTGCCGTAGTCACCAGAAACAGTTATTAGTGGAGATGAGAAACTGAATGAGCTGTCATTTCCCTCCCAGGACCAGGTGAAATCATTTAACTCATAAATCAGACAAACTAAGCCATGTATGTTTTTAGATGGCAATTAAATTGTTTGAAAACCAATTCTTCCCTCCAGCTTTGGAGGCAAACTCCGGGGCTTATAGTGCTGATTAGAGAATAGAATTTCTGCCAGACTCTAATGGATGTTCCACCAGATTTTGAAAATGGAATAAAAACGAGTCATCAAAGAGCAATCAACTGTGGGCTACTTTTCAGATGTCTCCTTAGGCAGGACAGGCTTAATTCTATACCAGATGCAAGGTCTAAATCAATAATTCATGTTTCTTTTCCTTAAATTTCTTATAGAGATGGTGTATTTCTGCATACTCCCAAACAAAGTGTAGAGTGATTACAACAAAATAAGAGGCCTTGCAAGCTAAGGTAGCATCCTTATTTTCCTTCCCCAAAAGACAGTTGCTTGTTTAACAGACATTTATATGGCATTTGCTATATGTCATATACTCTCATGAGTATCTTATAAAGATTAATTTGTTTTGTCCCAGAGAAAATAGAGGCTCTTTCCATGTGCCAAGCCCACATGAAGAATATTTGAGAGCACCTTCTAGTTAGCAAAAAGAAATTAGAATGGGACAGAAAATATAATATAGCTGGGACTAGAAAACTCTGAAGTAAATGTTAATTCAGAACATCTCAGACAGACTGAAGAATAGCAATGTTTCCCACATTTATTGAGCACCAGCACTAGACAATGAAAGTAGAAATCAAAACTAACATTATTAACTGCCTTTGTGTCCCTGGCTCTGAGATAAATTCTGATGATATATCAGTGAATAAGATAAACTCATTGTCTACTTCACTGAGCAAACAAGCTTTAGAGAAGTCTGCCAGTAAATAATTAATTAAAAATATAATTATAAATTATTCAGTACCATAAATCATACTTCTAGTTTAGATTTTGTCAAATACTGAGATTCTCTGATGTAGCAGTTATAGTCTCAGGAGCTCCTTAAACCAGTCTAATAATTCCTCATTTTAGAGCTTTTCTAACATACATGATATTGAGCACTAGGTAGTTGAATTATAATTTCAGGGTTGTTATTGCCTATAACAGAGAAAATTGAGTAGTTTCATGGGCAGTGTGCCATGGTGTGGTACAGTGGGGGATTCTGAGTGGGGAGAGATTCTTCCCTCCAAAGGTACTAGAGAGTCAGAAAGCCACATCCAGAGCATCCTGGAGGGGGACAAACTCTCCCTTAAAAATCAACTAATGGGCTGGGGTTGTGGCTCAGTGGCAGAGCGCTTGCCTCACATGTGTAAATCACTGGGTTCAATCCTCAGCACCACACAAAAATAAAAAATTAAATAAAGATATCGTGTCCATCTACAACTAAAAAAATATTTTAAAAAAATCAACTAACAATGGACAAGACCCTAGGCGTGCGCACACGCACATGCACAATACACACACACACACACACACACACACACCTGACAAAGATTCAGTACCTAAACTAAAAGAAGAAGGGGGAAAAAGATGGTAACTTTGTAGTAAGGATCCTGAGAAAAAGACAGAATTAAATCAATACAGACAGTGAGAACGACAACTGTCACAGGGACATACATGTGACCCCAGGCTGTTTATCCTTTTAGTGAGAAGAAGGTGGCAGCTGGAATTGGGACCCTCCTTATAGTCTTTGAAGACCATATTGCTTAATGGATCTACATGTTCTTCTTAGGAAGAATGAACTTTCTCATTTCTTCCTCTCATCTTTATTCATTCCTAAATACATATCTGGAGAAGGTAGGCCCTTCCTAAGCAGAATGAGCCAGACTAGGTAAGCAAAACACCTGCTTTACTAGGTCTGTGTTCTCTGTTCTTGGTTTTATTTAACAGTAAGTAGCAAGTGTTTTGGAGAGGGACCATCTCATCTTTCCTTTTCTTCTGAACTCTGCTGTTTTCTCTCAGAAGAGCCCTTGGGCTCCAAACAAAAGGGTCAACGCTACAGTCTTGAGTAGTACTTACAATTAGTGCTTCATTTTCATATTCTCTAGGCAAAACCCCAAAACATTTTATAAGAAGTTCCTACGGAATGTGTCAAAGTATATACAATAAATGATAAGTGTGCCAAACAGCATGCCAAGACACCTAACTAAAGGATCTATCCCTGTGAAGGATCTTGGTGTTATCCATAGTGTAGGGAGGAAATGCTTTTGTCACAGATATAGACTGATGACTGCAAAAAATCTACTCAAGGAAAAGCTCTAGGGGCCTTTGTGTTCAGTGGCCCTGCCACATTTCAGGATTTAGTTAAACAAGGGCAGCGTGAGCCAGTGGGTTTGCTACTCTGAGGTAATAGCAAAAGATAGGAAGGGGAGGCAGGAAAGAACATGTGAGCAGTGCCCTGCAGTAGTCCAAGAACGACTGCCAGACTTGCATGCTAGGAGCAGCATTCTGAGAGGCTGCCCTTAGGAAAGCAAAGTAAGGCTGGTGAAGTCTAAAAGGCAATAAAGTGTCTTTAAAAAAATAATAATAAAAGCCCAGGCTTCCTGCTGATGGAGCTGACCAATTATTTGCTTTCTAAATGAACCAACTTTTTCCCACTCCCAGCAAAAATCAGTTGTTCATAACAATATCTGACTTAATTATTATTGTTTTATGATCAGTCTGGGGATTCAGAATTACAAATGGGCAATGTGTTGCAAATGGGATGTATCAAAAGATAAAAGGATCTTGAAAGAAAAAGACATTATGGTCTCAGAAGTTGTTTCATGTCATTCCCATTTGAAAAGCAAACCATGAAGAAGAGATTTTTTTTCAAAAAAACTTTATTCTAAAGGATATATGAGGACTTCTATTCACTATGTGTAATAAATATGACTAAAGAAAAATTATTCAATTAATATTTCCTTTTCAACTGCAGCAGCATTCATACTGAAAAGGATTTGGGGAAGAAAAATTTTAAAACATGCAATTAATTGCATAGTCTCTGATTAATTTAGGGCTTTGGATTTGGAAGACTGCATAGTTTACTTAGACCCCAGGTAAAGAATGTCCACAGCTCTTCCAATATTGTGCAAAGATGGTTCCACTGGATTCCCCTTCAGCTGTAACAATGGCACTTTTACATCCTAGCAGAAACATACATTCATAGTTTGCACTGTTTTTACTAACCTGGGCCATCCTAAGCAGCCAGAGCATTCATTCCCCTAGGGCTGCATATGTCTTTGTAGGACTGAATGTGAGGCCCCTAGAACAAAATGAAAGGAAAAAAAAATCAAGTGGGTGATTTTGATGCTGCAGTTCAAAGCACTAGTATGTCTTTTGAGAGAGCCACAAAGATAAAAAGAATTAGAGATTCCCAAGGGTATATCTGCTGGCAATAGAAGAAAACCATTTTACAGCAATTGTAAAAACCAGAGAAAGAAATTGTTGTAAAGCTCTTTGTCCTGCAATCTCAGGCTTCCATCATTGCTCAGGTTGAGCTTGCT